AAAGATAACATGAGAAAAAATAAGCCAATTTATATCAGTTATAACCATCAATGTAAATGGCCTCAATTCACCAACTGAAAGAAACAGATGGGTAGAATGGATCAGGAAACAACATCCAAACATATGCTGTATACATAAAAGCCATCTAACCCAAAAGGAAGTTCATAGATTGAAAGTAAACGATGGAAAACAATACCAACAAGAACCCCCCAAAAAAGCAGGGATAGCTATTCTGTTTGTAGACAACATGAACTTCAAACCAAGAATAACCAAGAGATAAATAAGGTCACTATACTGGTTAGGGGAAAACTTCAAGAGGAAGAGATAACACTCTTAAATATGGGAGCACCCAGCTATATAAAACAAATATTAATAGACATGAAAAATCAAAGAAGCATTAGCACAATTATAATGGGAGACAACACTCCATTGATGCAAACAGACAGATCAACTAAACAAAAAAGTCAACAAAGAAGTAATAGAACTCAGTCAAACTTGTGAACAAATGGACTGAGTAGACATGTACAGAGTGTTCCACCCAACATCAAATACAAATTCTTCTCAGCTACACATGCAATATTCTCTAAAATACACCATATGCTAGCCCATAGAATCTGCTTAGTAAGTGCAAAAGAATCAATATTATCCCATGCATGTTATCTGACCATAGTGCCATGAAACTAGAAATTAATGAAAAAAGAAACTGTAGAAACTCCATAAACACATGGATATTAAACAATATACTCCTGAACAATCAATGGGTCACAGAGGGAATTAAAGCTTATCTACAAGCAAACAAAAATGCAAATACAACTCACTGGAACCTGTGGGATGCAATGAAAGCAGTCCTCAGAGGGAAATTTATTGCAGTGAATTCCCACATCAGGAAAACAGAATGAACACAAATAAATAACCTGATGCTACAGTTCAAACATCTAAAAAAAGAAGGGCAAGTCAAGCCCAAAGCCAAAAGAAAGGAGGAAATTATAAAGATCAGAGCAGAAATTCACAAAATTGAGACTAAGAAAATACACAGAATGAATTGAGTTTTTTGAAAGAATAAATAAAATTGATAAGAACAAATAAAATTGATAAGCCTCTATCTAACCTTATTTTAAAAAAGGAAAGAAAAAACTCAAATTTATGCACTAAGGAATGAAAATGGAGAAATCACTATAGACCCTGTGGAAATACAGATCATCAATACCTACTTTTAAAATCTTTACTTTCATAGGTTCAATAACACAGAAGAAATGGACAGATGCCTAGAAACATATGAATTACCAAAGCTAGATCAAGAATACGTAAAACTGCTGAATAACCCAATTTCAGTTAATGAAACTGAAAATTTAATTAGAACCCTACTAACAAAGAAAAGCCCAGATCTTAATGAATACACCACAGAGTTCTACAAGACATTTAGTGAAGACTTAATGCCAACACTCCTCAAACTCTTCAATGAAACTGAAAGGGAAGCAATTCTCCTTAACTCATTCCTGGAAGCAAATACTACCCTAATACCAAAACCAGAGAATGACCCAACCAAAAAGAGAGAATTACACACAATATTCCTAATGAACACAGACACAAAAATTCTCAACAAAATACTGATAAACAGAATGCCACAAGTCATCAGTCACATTATACACCGTGACTAATTGAGATTCATTCCAGGAATGGAGGAATGGTTTAACATAAGCAAATCAATAAACTTAATACACCACACACCAACAGAATCAAAGATAACAATCACATGACCATTTCAATAGGTGCAGAAAAAGCTATTGATAAAGTCCAACAATCATTCATGATAAAAACCCAAAGGAATAGATGATCTTTACCTCAATCTGATAAAAGCCATTTACAACAAACGTATAGAGAGCATTATACTAAATGGTCAAAAACTTAAAGCTTTCACTCTAAAATCAGGAACATGACAAGGTTGTCCACTATCATAATTCCTATTCAGGATAGTTCTGGAAACATCAGCCAGCAATCAGACAAGAGAAATAAAAGCAATAAGGATAGGAAAGGAAGAAGTTAAATTATCATTATTTGCAATGATATGATATTCTATATAGATTCCCAAAACTGCATTGAAAGACTTCTAGATAACCAAATTTAGTAATGTAGCTGGATTCAAAGTCAACACTCAAAAATCAATAGCACTCCTGTACACGAACAACAAGTCCACTGAGAGAGAAATAAGGGAAACCACACCCTTCACAATAGCATCCAAAAAAACAAAACACTTAGGAATCAATCTAACAAAGGAAATAATAAAAGATCTAGACAGTGATAATTATAGTATTCTACAAAAAATATAAAGATTTGACAAGGAAAGACATTCCTTGTTCATGGGTAGAACAAACATTTTTGTGAAAACGGCCACTTTCCCAAAATTGTTATACATATTTAATACAATTTCAATCAAAATACCATTAGCATATCTCATAGATCTAGAGAACTGTCCCTAAAATTAATATGGAACCAGAAGAGACCTAGAATAGCAAAAGCAATTCTGGGCAACAAAGGCAAGACAGGAGGCAACACAATCCCTGACTTGAAATTATACTACAAAGCTCTGTGACAAAATCAGCATGGTATTGGAATAAAAACAGACCTAAAGATCAATGGAATAGATTAGACAGTACAGCCACAACTCCAAACACACTCAGCCACCTTATCTTTGACAAAGGGCCAAATGTGTTTACTGGAAGAAAGACTCTTTAGTAAGTGGTGTGGGAAATACTGGCTTTTCATAGGCCAAAGACCAAAACTACACACATCTATCACCATGCATTAAAGTCAAAATGGATCAAAGATTTAAATATTAAAACAGAAATACTAAATCTGCTGGAAGACAAAGTAAGTAGAAACCTTGAAGACATATTGGTAGGCAGAGAATTCATTAACAAAAATCAAACTGCATGGGAAATATTTGCCAAAATCAACAAGTGGGATCTCGGCTATTAGAAAGATTTTGTATATCAAAAGGAATCTCCAACAAAGTGAAATGAAAACCCATGAATTGGGAAAATACCTTAGCCAACTGATCCTCAGATAAAGGACTTCTATCTAGAACTTACAAATAATTAAAAAAAAAAATCAAGTCCCCAAAATTCAAGGACCCAATCCAAAAATGGGCATGTGAGATGAATATACAATGAAAAAATGTTCAACATCAATGGTCATTTGGGAAATGCAAATTAAAACAACACTGAGATTCCATCTCATCCCACAAAGAATGGCCAAGATCAAGAAGTCAACCAACAACAAATGCTGGAAGATTTGTTGGCGAGGAGGAACTGTTCCCCACAGTTGGGGAATGCCTGCCTGGCAAATATAAGATCCTGAGTTTGATTTCTGGTACAAAGGGAAAAAAAAAGAATATCCTGGGTTCCCTTGTTAGTCCATTATAAAAAAGCATATATTCATTTGTGCAATTTGTATTATTGGAGGAAACTAGCAAGACATCTTAGCACAATTAGTTCCTCAGCATTTCACACCGCAGGCAACTTTTAGGATTTTAAAGCTAAAAGAAATCTCATTCATCTTCAATTGCTTTATTTTTACAAATGAGCCAACTGGTAAAACGAACAATTAAGAAGCTTGTATAGGTCGTGTATATTTATTGACCAAAGCCACTCTCTTTTATCTTCAATCTAGGGTTTCTTCACCGTATCTCACAAACCTGCTGGGTATTTATTGTCTTTTACTGGATTATATTTGGTTTTCTGAAGTTGCAGAAGGTCATTTCTATTTTAATTAACTTATGTTCCTGATGAGAACAGAGGCTGTGCCCCTCTCACCCATAGACGCAGAATTTAGCAGGTTTGGCACACAGTGCGTATTTCATAGACTGTTGTAAATTGAGAGAATGAATGACTCAGATCACATGAACACTCAGTTTTAACCTTTCTAAAGATAAAGAAATGTGGAACTTTTCCAGTTTAACTCCACGTTCTTGATTATTTCAGATATCATTCTCCAGCCTGGTTTTCCAGTTTGTTTCTTTTAGGAAGCTAGTAAGAATTTAGAATGAATTCTTTCTACAAACCAATAATCTCAATAATATAGTTCCTTTGCACTGTCTCACACCTTTGATTAACAACAGCATTTACTTAAAATTTTCTTCCAAATTAGATAGTTACTACACATTGAAGGTTAGCCTTTTTTTTTTGGTCTTTTTGAGACAGGGCTTCACTATGCAGTTCAGGTTGGTTTCGAGCTCACTTTGTAGCCTACTCTGGCCTAAAACTCACAGTGATCCTCTTGCCTCAATATCCCAAGTGCTGAGTTTACAGATGTGTGCTGCCACTTATTGTTTACTCTGTCAAAATAAATTCTCCCTTTCAAACAAATTATAAAAATTTAACTGAGTCTGGATTTAGCACCTTTTAACTTTTTTATATCTAGAATTATCTTTCCATCTACATATTTTTGTTTTGGTATTTAAATAAATTACCTTTATAACCTAATTTGTTTGTGTTCAATATGTTCAAGTCACTGAACTCTCTTATCCTGGAATAACTACCCACATCTTTTTTAAGTAGGCACAGATGATTAAAAGAATTTCAGTTTAATGAAAACTGTTTTTAAAAGGTCCAAGTAAAAAGTGTTTTTTCTTACTGATCTGTTTATTGTCTTCCACTGTCCCAGGAAGCCCAGATACATGCTTCCTGTGAGCCTTAAGAACACTACAAGAATCCTTTTATTCAAAAATCCTATGCTATTATCCTCTGCCTATAGCCATCCTGAAAAACTCTAAAAAAAAAAAAAAAAAAAAAAAACCACCAAAAAACAAACAAACAAAAAAAAACCCTTTATTCAGGATCCTGCCCTGGATTATATACTATCACAGAGTTGGGAAAAATCTTAAGAGACTTCTTAGTACAGTTCCCAAAAATGAATCTGATATTCACCAATGATAAATCATTGTGGACAAGTATAGCACATAACTCCTCTATCACGGCATGTTTTATACATATTATACTTACTTATATTCATCATAGACTTCCTGTTTGGGCAGTGAAGTCTCAGGATGTTCCTCTAGAGTATTCCGAATCCAAGAAAAGGCATGCATTTGCTGTGCCCGACTAGATGACATGGCATTCTGATCACTAATCATAAAACAAAAACAGATTTTAGCTAAACTAGAAAGCAATTTATTAGTAATTTTTGAGTCAGATCTAAATATTCTATTTAAGAACTATGTGCAAACATATCAAAATTGACCAAACCCTAATGTATATACAAATTTCCCACCCATGGCTGTGAGCCATATTTTAGAGTAAGGTTTAGACTGAAGTTACTACACTCTTTCATTCTTATGCGGCTTCTAAAGAATCATAGGAGGCGGTAAAATGACAATGTAAGGTACTGGTTTTGATTAAAATTACAGTTGATGGCTATCTGCTCACTTATTTGTTTATTTGCCTATATTCAGAAATCAGAGACTTTTATAACAAGTATTATGGAAACTTTTTCTATTTCCTCAGTCTACTCAAAGAATACTGTATGGAAATAACTACCTTGAAATCTTACAATACCACTCTATGCCCAGAATGGAATTTACATCACAGATTCTAAAAGGATCTATAGTCTTTCCTGCAACTATGCCTTTACCCAGGCTAACATGTCCACGAAACATCCTCAGGTTTTATTACGTGACAGAATCCTTTATAAATTCATCCCATGAATTGAGCACCAGTGACAGCAAGATGAAAGCTGTCTTAGAGCTGATTCACCTCAGCTATCATTAAGTATAATTTATTTATTTAATTTTAAAGAAGATACTGAGTAACACCTTCTTTGTACTTTAAGATACCCAAGTTCTTAAAAACATATTTATCATGAATTCATGTTTCACTCTAGTAATCTTTTTTCTTTTGTTATGTGATGTGCTTATCTAATGGTGCCTTAAAAAATTCCTGCACCTTATTTCTTGCAATATTTATCCATTCATTCTTTCATTTTCTGTCCAACCTTTGTAGTTCTTCATAATGCATTAATATAACAATCTACATGTAACACTTAACTCAAATCAATTTTTATAGTAAATATTGAGTTGCATAAATTAACTAGCAAAACATGAAGATATATACTTAACTAAATATCATCAGACTCAAATGATCTATTATTTTACCATTCTGTTTTATGATTTTAGGACATTTTTATAATTTTAAAACTACAGTATGTGTAACACTCATATATCCCAAGGATGTCCTATGAACAATGTAATTATAGCGAAGACAAAAATAGGTATACCTTTTCTCTCCATTGCTGAGACCAGAAGGCAGCTGAAGGTAGAGGTAGAGTTTCTCTAGGTCTGTAAACTTCTCAACTTCTTGCTGGTTACAAAGAATTAAAAAGAAGAATCATTTTAAATAACATCTATTTTCCTCCCAACATGTAATAATCTCTAATGTACTAATCTCTCCCTGATTTTAAATTTAAATTTAAAACAGAAGCAACTAATCACCTGCCAAGTAAAACAAATCTGGACTTTTTTCTTGCCATTAAAATAATACAATTAGATTGTGAAATGCTTGTATTGCATATAACAAGTTAACAGAATATGGTATTTTCCAATTCTTACAGTTATAAATAAAATCAAAGATCAATGCTAGAGAAAATATCCTCATTTTAATCTCACTTTAAAGGAGGACAACTGCTGTTGGGAGCCGCAGCCCCGAGCCCGGTCGCCTCACTTGGCGGACGTGAGGCCTGTAGTAAAGAGTAAAGCCTGAGGTAGATTACCCCTCCCATCGAGCACGTTAGTTTCCTGCTTACTGCGTAAGCAACCCGCTCAACAATATAGTCTGCCTGGCAACTGATGATGTTAGCCAATCAGCTTGCCTTGCTCACTTTAACATGATTGGACACTGTATCCGTATATATACTGGTGCCACCCCTGGGGGGGAAGAAGAAGCCCGGAAGTAGAAGCCCAGAAGGAGCCGCGGGGAGCGGACCAAAGGAGGCTTCGGCTGGGAGCGATCCCAGGGCAGGCTGTACGGAGAAGAAAAATAAAAGAAAAGGTTGTCCACTGCCAGACTTTGTCGTGTGTCCTTCCTGCCGGCCGGGAGCGGACATCGACATTTGGAGGCCCGCCCGGGGACTGATCACCCCCGAGACGTGACAGCGGACAACGCTCCAGTACAGAGCTGCGAGACAGGTGAGTTGGGGATAAGCCTGGGCTCTGGGTGGCGCGCACCTACAGGGCTTTTAGACTCCCCTCAGGCTCACGCGTAAGTGGCGGATTCCTTGGGCCTCACGCGGTGAGTAACATATTAAAAAATGGGAAACATGCTAGGTAGCAACACTAAGAGCGAGGGTGGTTGTGGAGAAAGCTCTCAAGAGCTTACAAAAGTACGCAGGGTATTTGAGCAGGCCCAGTCAGGGAGCTCCCGAGAGGGGCCCGTCAAGGGGAACAAAGATGCTAAGGAGAAGGACGGGGCTCTAGCCTCGGAGTCGTCTGACTCCGAGGACGAGGGAAAGTTGAATGGCAAGGAGGCCAAAGAGACCAGCTGTCAGGAGCCTAAGTCGCTCGATAAGGAGTCACAGGGTTCTTTTCCAGCGTTGCGCCGCGAATTGCGCTCTGCTCAACCTGGTCTGCGGAGGAGTAGAGAGCTCCTGAGCGCTCCCCGGCGCGAGAGGGAGGCGATCCCTCGCCACGAGGCGGCCGCCTGGGAGCTCCCTCCCCTTTCGCCAGAACAGGAAGTGATGCACGGGCCCCCATTTTCCGCCCAATCACGGCCGCCGTCTTATGCTCCGCCGCCGGCGGGTCGGTATTTTTACAGGCGGCTTTGGCAGGGGGGACGCTTGTCTCATGAGGTACATCCACCTGGGATAGATAGTGGCCCCTACGGGATATTTCCTGTACAAGTAGCTATGGGCCAGGGACGCAATGTATGGGAGCCTTTTGAGATAAAGCAGATTAGAGAACTTAAAAATGCAGTTACAACCTTTGGGCCGACTGCGCCTTACACCATTGCCATGCTGGAGAATCTGTCTTCTGGGCCCCTCACCCCCGCGGACTGGATTCAGCTGGCAAAGGCGTGACTGCCCTCGGGCAGTTACCTGGATTGGCGAGCCTGGTACGCAGAGTTCTCTGCAGAGCAGGCTGAGAGAAACGCCAATCGGGGAAACCGGGGGTGGAACAAAGAAATGCTTATGGGAGAAGGTCGGCACGCTGATGATCAGACTCAGTTCCCCGGCGCTGTCTATGAACAAATCAATGCCATAGGGCTCCGCGCCTGGAAGCAAGTAAGTGGTGCCGGAACAGCCTCCTTGTGTCTTTCAAAAATAATTCAGGGTACCACAGAGCCATTTGTTGACTTTGTGGCCCGAATGCAAGATGCTGCCGATAAGATATTTTCTGATCCGGGAGTGGCTCGACCGCTGGTAAGGCAGCTGATTTTTGAGCAATGTACAAAGGAGTGCAAGGCAGCGATAGCTCCTCATAAGAACAAGGACCTCAACGCCTGGATTAGGATATGCAGAGAGATAGGGGGGCCGCTCTCCAACTCGGGAGTGGCTGCTCTCCTGGCCGCGGCTGTACAGCAGAGGGGACCTCGCGGGTTAGAAGGGGAATGTAAGGCTAAAGGGTGTTTTGCCTGCGGGGAGCCAGGACACATTAAACGTCATTGCCCAAACAATGCAGATGCTAGGCCTCGCCCTAGGAATGAAGAACCATATGTTTGTGGGCGATGCAAGAGGGGATCACACAAAGCTGAGGAGTGTAGGTCGGTCTTTGATGCTCAGGGCAACCGTATTTGTGGACGAGATGTTAGAGGGCCAAAAAACGGCCAGAGGGGGCCCCCTTCACAGGCGGGCCCCCGCCCCAGAGACAGGACAGCTCAGGATGGCAGCCTTCAACAAGGGCCACCCCTGGGTCAGCAGGTGTGGACCTCAGTGTCGCCTCCGGACTTATATTAGTGCCTGATATGGGTGTTCAAGTGGTTGAAACCACCTTTAAGGGACCGTTACCCGAAAATTCCGTGGGTCTGGTGATCGGGAGATCCTCCACGGCCCTTCGGGGTCTCATAGTAGTCCCGGGGGTCATAGACTCAGACTACACAGGACACATTAAAATTATGGTTCAATCTCTTGTGGGTACTATGGTAATCAATAAAGGAGACAAGATAGCGCAGCTCTTGCTGCTCCCCAGTCTCCACAGGAGATTTCCCTCAAAGCAGAAAATTAGAGAAAGTCAAGGTTTCGGTTCCTCAGGGGAAGTCTTCGAGGGACTCCATATAATACTTGATAAAAGGCCCATGCTCTCACTTAAGGTCAACGGCAAGAGTATAACAGGGCTCCTAGACACAGGAGCTGACCGTTCCATTATCTCTAGAAAGGATTGGCCCTCCAACTGGCCCACCAACACTGCAGATAACACGCTGCAGGGCCTGGGGATGGTGTCAGCTCCTCAGGTTAGTGCTTCAACCCTGCTCTGGTGCGATGAGGAGGGTCATCAGGGCCATTTCCAACCATTTGTGTTGCAGTTGCCAGTGTCTCTATGGGGAAGGGACATCCTCACTCAGATGGATGTCACGCTTACGTCAAACTGCTCCCCCCAGGCTAAGGATATACTCAGGAACCAGGGATATACCCCCGGCAAAGGCTTGGGCAATGCCCTACAGGGTCGGACATCCCCAATACCAGTAGAGAACAAAAAAGGTAGGCAAGGGCTGGGTTTTTCTTAGGGGCCGCTGAAGAAGCTCTCCTACCCACTTCGATCAAAATCACCTGGAGGTCAAATGATCCGGTTTGGGTACCTCAGTGGCCCCTGCCTAAGGAGAAGCTATTAGCCTTGTCAGAAATAGTCAGTACACAACTTAGATTAGGACACATTAAGCCGTCAACCTCCCCATGGAACACCCCCATTTTTATAATTAAGAAAAAGTCTGGCAAGTGGAGGCTGCTCCATGATCTAAGGGCGGTCAACGCGCAGATGCAGTCCCTGGGGGCGGTCCAGAGGGGGCTGCCAGCTCTCTCAGCCATCCCTCAGTCCTGGCCAGTTTATGTTATAGATCTTAGAGACTGTTTCTTCTCAATCCCCCTGCATCCAGAGGACACTCATAGGTTCGCCTTTACTTTACCCACCATTAACCAAGAAAGCCCTGATCTCAGATACGAGTGGATAACGCTGCCCCAAGGTATGGCCAACAGTCCCACTATGTGTCAGATTTACCTTGATTCCCTACTGGCCCCCCTACGGAAATCCTTTCCCAAGATAAGATGTGTGCATTACATGGACGACCTTTTGCTCAGCGGCAGGGACCCAGACATGCTAAATAATATGCTCGGCCAGTTGGTCGAGGCCCTGAGACAAGCTAATCTGCATGTTGCCCCCGACAAGATTCAGGGAGGAGAAATGGTGACCTACTTAGGCGCAAAAATCTCCCCTATGCTAGTCTCTCCACAGAAGGTCACCATTAGGACGGATGGCGTTAGGACCCTAAATGACATGCAAAAGCTATTGGGAGACATTAATTGGATTAGGCCATATTTACATATACCAAATTCAGATCTCAAACCCCTGTTCGACCTTCTGAAGGGAGACCCAGATATAGCCTCCCACAGGAGGCTCACTCCTGAGGCAAGAGCTGCCTTACAGAGAGTGGAAAAAGCCTTAGGTGGGGCTACCTTACACAGAATTGAACCAGGGCGACCCTTTGATGTCTGTTTGCTACAGACTAGTCTACAGCCCACAGCGGTGATTTGGCAGAAAGGACCATTACTGTGGATACACCCTAAGGTCTCACCTGCAAAAGTCATAGAGCATTACCCGGAGGCAGTCGCTTCATTGGCCCTTGAAGTGCATGATAGAGCTGTCCAACATTTTGGCTCAGGACCACAAGCCATCCGAGTACCCTATACTGCCAGCCAGATCAAGACCCTGGCTGCCTGCATAGATACGTGGGCCATTCTGAGATGTGTTTTCCATGGGGATATAAACAATCAATACCCTAAAGACCCTATCTTGTCATTTGTCACTCAGCACCCTATAATTTTTCCAAAGGTTACTGCCTCTGAGCCATTAGTCCCAGCAACTACAATATACACAGATGGCTCCAAGACGGGGATAGGCGCCTATGTGATCCTAGGCAAGCCCCCGGTTACCATACAATTTGAACCTGATCAGCCTCAGGTGGTGGAACTGCAGATCGTTAAAATGATTCTTGAACGGTTCTCAGAAGCCATTAACATTGTCTCCGATTCTAGGTATGTGGTCAATGCTATGCAAGTGCTTGAGACTGCCGGTTTAATTAGATCCACTTCCACAGTGGCTGGGCTGTTCCTGTCTATCCAGACATTGCTTCAGAACAGACACCATAAGGTCTTCACC